GAGAGGGGACAGGGCCCGAGGCAGGGCTCGGGGTGACGGCCGCTGTTGGGTGGCCTGCGCCTCTGCTCCTCACCCTCTGGGCTGGGGAGCGCGGAAGCGGGAAGCGGCAGCTGTGAGCTTTACCCCGTCCTTCGTCTGTATTCAGTTTTCTGCTGTTGAGGGATTTGATTTCTGTGCGCCAAATGTGTGAATTCAGTGCCGCTTGAGTGATTACAAGGTACGAATATGTGTGCGAGATTTCAGTTGCATTAACTGCGGTAAATCTCTCGTGAGACTGGGGTTTACTTGGTCGGGTACACTCTATTTTCTAGTGGGAATGACCTGGGATGCCAATAATGTTTCTGATTCACAGAACACCAATATATGTTAATATGTACTGTCTCGTTATACAGCATTAAAACAAAATGTCGTCATCATCGCAATCATCCTCACCTTTACCTGTACTTAACTGTACTGCTCCTTTATTGGACTCTGATCTTCAGGAAAAGCTGCTGCTTCTTCATTCCACTGAGGCAAGCTCATTCTGTTCCTGTTAAGCTTGATTTTTTTCACTCTATGTACTTTGTTAACCAGATTCAAAAAGGGTATTTCAAAACATACTTCCTAGCCACAGATGGGAAGTAGGTGATAATTCAAAAAATGGGTAGTCAGAGTGCTGGACATAAAAATGGCATACTGAAACTATGGAAAAATTCTTACTTGTTCTTTTCTGCTTACATAGATGGGCTAGGATAAATGAAACACAATGTTTAATCTTCCAAGATGCTGTTTTCACTGGAAGTAATTAAATTCAAGAACTTAGTTTTGGTTATATAACCAAGAAAAAGGTATAGAAACCTGCGCTGTGTTACACAAGGTAAAAGGTCTGCCAGTAAATGTAAGCCTGTAATAAAACAAGACACATAAACATATATATATAAAATAAAAAACATCAGACATTTGGAGTGTAGTTATTTGCCTTATAGCAACAGTTGGAAGCAGAGCAGTCTACATTCTGATTCTGTGAGGAAGTGATCTTTTTAGTTGGGAACTTCCCAAATTCTGTTACTCGTTTTCTTAATTATGCTAAGGAGATACAGATGTAAGAATATAAACTCTTAGTCTGACAAATCCTTTTGGTGGAGATGCACCTGGCACAGGCTGAAAGCAGGAGAAATGGGTCCTGGTGGGTGGAGAAAGCAAGACAATCCACTTCTGGAAAATAACGAGTGGTCAGTGGAGCACTGAGCGGAGTAAACAGATAACTTTGTGCTTGGCGAGGGCATCAGTCATGCTGGAGTGTGAGGGTAGAGGCAGGAGAGAAGTGTTTGGAGAAGGGGTGAGGGTGACGGCAGGTTCCTGGTGCTTAACAAGGCAATGGGGGGAATGGGATGCGTTTAGGTAGTAGGCACTGGTACTTGGCTCTGGACTTGCCGTGACATGGGCAGCATCATGTTCCTGTGCAGCCCTGCAAGGTGAGGAGCTTTTCCAAACTGGGAAAAGAGAAAAGCCGTTGCTGCTTCCAAATTGGAAGAACTCTGCTGTGAAATATAATAACTGGTGTCTGAGCAGAACTTGGCCTCCACCTTCACTGGAGGTAAACTGTTCACCTTTGCCTTGTAGATTAGGTGTGTTCTGTGAGCGACCAGTTTGAGGGTACATCCTGTGATGTCACAGGCTTTTACCCTTGTTGCAAGTCCTAAGTGAGAGATTTCTCTGCTCTTTAAAATTTCTCCTAAATGATAGTCCTGAAGAGCTGACTTGTTTTATGTTGATATCCTTCAGTTAGCAATATCAGTGTCCCAGCTGTGAGGGATACTAACTGTTACATAATTATGAATGCTATTTCAGGGGAAAATGTATGTGCCACCTGGAGAAGCAGGAAAACTCTGTTCAATGATTTGGCTGTATAAAAAGGATTATCATAGAACTGCAAAAGCCATCCAAGATGGAAAATACTTTACTGATCTAAGCAAAGAATCTGGCGGTCTAGAACACCAGGTATGAAAATATGTAAGGCGTAAACATAGAACCAATGCAAATGTACATTTCTGATGCAAATCTTAAACTAACATTTAGTCTTACCATCGTCTTTAGTAGACGTATTGGTAAGATTTTTTAATGTCCTGTGCACTAAGAAACTTCCCTGGTTTGTTTTCCTCAGCTACAAAGTTCTATGCACAAAATAAATTGAATCTTTAGGGTTTAAACCACAACTCTAAGTAGCTCAGGAGCATGCGAGCTTTTATATTTATACGTACCAAATTTGAAAATGTAGCAAATTATATGTACCACATTCAAAACCATTGAAAAAATGCTACAACAATTATAATTGGAAGTAATTTTTTGAAGTTTCCTGCTTCTGTCTTGCAGTTAAACAGTAAAAACATTGACACTTTGATGCAGAAGTTAAATGAAAATGAAACCCAAAATGCTGTAAGTAAATTAAAATTTCTGTCTCTTTTTGTTCTATGCTGTACATCTGAAAATGGCTACGTCATGGCATCATACAATTTCAAGTGACAGTGGCAAGGTGGGAGTATTTGTGGTTTATCATTACAAAATGGAGTCTTAGTTTTACATCTGAAATGTTCATCAGTGTGCATTGCTGTTGCATTGTTGTGTACAGACATTAAAATAATTTCTTTGTTAACTTCTTTCCATGAAGAATCTCAGGAGAAAAATACTTGAAAAGGAGAAACATGTTAAAGAACTTTCATCCAGGCTTCAGCTTGAAAAAGTGAGTGACCAGTTCTGTTAGAATGAATGTTTTCTCCCAATGTACTAGATTCTTATTTACAAATTTTAAATTTTGAGACAAGCAATTGTTTCAAAGATCTATGAAAAAAAGGAAAATCCTGAAAGGTGTTTCCTACAGAAATATCTTAAAACCATCAAGACTGTATCCAGACCTATTAAGGATACAGGTTATCTGTAACACTAATGTCCCACGGTTCAGGGAGGGGCATACATCTAGACTAATGGCTTTTGGCTTCTCGTTTACAGATTTGCAATAGTTCTGGGAAAAATTTCTTATAATGAAGTAATACAGAGTAAACTAAACAGATACTGTTCACAGTTTCCATGGCTCTTTGAGCTCAATGAATAGGGAAAGGTAGTACTGACAGCAGAGCTAATAACATCAAAGGCTGACAAGACCTCATTCATTCTCTGACCGAAAGGAAGGGGCTCAGTGCAGAAACCAGTATAGGAGGAGAAGAATTATCTGTCCTGTATAAGAAGGTACTACAAAAGTTTCAAAATTATTTTACTGGTAGTTTAGCAATTTGTGTTACAGTACTTATATACCTAAAGTGCATGTTATGCGCATGCAGTGCAGCATGGCTCAGTGTTAGTGAGGGACAGAGTAGGATCAGTGAAATCTTTAAGGGGACAATGGTGTACTGTGATTTTTGTCACTCCTTGGGGTTTGTTGAGAGCCACGGTTGTTCTTTAAGAGTTTTTCTTTGCTTAACCAAGAGAACATATCACTTGGCTGCAGGATAAACTTAGCCAGCTAATTGTAATAGAGGAGGTGAGGTGTGAGGGTGCCCACTTTCACACCTGGCAATTGGCATGTCCTTGTCTTTATCTTGAAGTGAAGCAGCAAGAAACATCCTTTTGTTTGAGAGTAGAAATGCTGAACAGAAAAGCCTATAAAGATTCTGAAGACCACAGTGCCAGCAAACCTCAGCATTGATGGGATCTGTGCAGCATGCCGTACCCTGACTAGAGATCTGTCTAATGCTGAAGGACTTGGGCTGCCCAGCATCTAAAGGGATAAATTATTATCTACGCTATCCCCTTGTTCCTTCTTACATTACCTCCAATAAATGGCATTTTCATCAATACCTGAGTGAGTCTGAGTCTGCCTTTCTTCCTGGTATCCATAATGAACACTTGCACTCGTGCATTACAATGCTCTTCTAGTCTATACTGATAATATGACTTCTTTCTACCTGTTTTCATTATTTCTTATTTAGAACGAGCCAAAGGAATCAGGTTGCAAGAATAATCTGACCTCAGCTCTGGTGACATAAGTTGCCTCTTCCCTTATGCTTTATGTATCCCCCCCAAATTAGAGTTTGAATTAAATGTATCAATACTTCTAATAGCAGGTGGTGGTCTTTGGTATTTAGTGACAATCAGTTCAGGCCTAATTAGTCAGGGCAGAGCTGATCAGTGTGGCTTAATTTTGGTTAACCTGCTAGCTAGATGCCTTTGCTCAGCCTGAATTTCTGAGTTCGTGCTTCCAGGCCTTGTTCATACTACTTAAAGAGTCAGATTAAATATGAGGCGTCAATTATACATACATTCTTTCAACTTTGTGATTTCTGTTTAACATTAATAACAAGTTACTGCTTGTGAATATTCTTGTAGAGCATGTTTTATCTTTTCCAGCTTTTGAGGACATTCAAACATCAGTCAGAAACTGTAAGGCAAAGTAGAAAGAATATAGATAGCATTGTACAGCATATCTCCGTAGACCAATAGATTTGTGTTTATTTCTCTTTATTAGGTCAATATACAGAAAGAAGACCACCTGTCAAGATCAGTAGAGGCAGTACAAGCTCACCTGCAAAGTCAGATTCAAAGAAAAGAAGTGGAAAACCATGAATTAAAAGTGAAAATACAGGTCAACATATTCTTACTTGTGTTTTAGTTTATTTGAAAAACTTAGCAAAGTCTTACTGTGATCACAGTTTAACTCAGATGTAAGAGAGAAATCTTAAAGTATCACTTGAAATCAAAGTCTTGGTAAAAATCCCAAACAGTAAAAATCATTAGCATTTATATTTTGCACAGTCTGCCTGACCACACTATCTTAATTGCAAGGTTGTGGGTTTTTTTTTCCTTCTTTTCTCAATTTGTGCATACTAACAGTTCTGCTGAAGAGAAGATACGCACACATAGAAGCTTTTGCACTTACCTAACTGTGCTATCTAGAAGATAGGTATTGATCCTGAGGCAGTCTCTATATAGTCAATAGAAAGAGATAGGCAAGTTCCCAGGATGAGTTTCTGTTGCAAGCTAAGCGTGATGAATCACCACCTGTTTCTTTTTATTGACTGTGAAGGAATCAGTAAACCTCTTAATACTGGCTGAAAGAGAAACACTTGAGACTAATGCCTAACCTCACTTTGTTTAAGGTAGGTGAAATGATTTCCATTGTTTGTTCTAAAAAGCAAGAGGTAAATTTGGGCATTTGCAGCAGTTACTGGCTTTAGAACAAGGCAAGGAAGAGGTCGTGTGTCAGAGGCTGGAGCTGTATGTGGCCTCAGATTTTAGTATTTGAAACTTGTCAAGAACATAGGCATGAATGAAAGAACATTGGCTGAAAAATGAAGTATTTCTAATGTCCAAACTTTTTTTAGTAGCATACGTCCCCTACGAATTTTATCATTTGAAGTTGTTAAGGAACCTTTAGCAACTCAATTTCAAAAAAAGTCACGTATGTCTATGTCTGTATAAATACCTCATGTTTTCTTCTGAATAAAAATTGCTTTATTGTTCTACCTAGTACAATTATTAGAATTCCAACAACATTTTCATTAAGTGATACTTTGATAAATTAACTTGATATACAACTGTATGTTTATTCAATCTTTATTTAAAAGTTTTGTTTGTTCGCTCTTCAAAAAGTGCTGAAGTCAGTTGCTAGCTGAAATCCTGGTGATGATTTTGTTAATATCTGGACAGAAGCTTGCGACTGCTTAGCATTACCCTTATGAAATTAATTCTCAATTTAAATTTACCTCAGTCACTGAATAATGTCCAAAGCACTTATTCTTTGCATGATTGTGACCTCCTGCGGTTATAACAGGGGATAACAGTCGTTTACTTATACAAACAGTTAAAGAAGTCCGTACATAGACTCAGATTTTGTATTTGCTCTATTTATTGAAGGTGTTCTCCCGCCGCCCCCACAAGTCACATCTTTGTTTATTAAATGCCCTATAAGCATCTATATATGAAAACTGCTTCCTGCATATTTAGGGGTTTTTATAATTTCATTTTTTGAAAGAGTATTTTCCTTTTTTTTTTGGGTCCCAGTACCTGAGACTATCTTTCATGTGGAAAACCACATACATTTTGCACTGATTATGGATAAATTCTGGGGCCGTTAGCAGGACCTATACTGACAGATATCCTCTCATATACATAATACGCATATTTTATAGCAACTGGCAAATAGTATCTTGAATAAGGCTGGCACATTAACGTAGTCAGTAGGTAAATGGCATGTCGTTCTAGTCTTTATTCATGTAGAACATAATTAAGTGTCAGACCTAGACTCAAATGTAGGAAACAAATGCATTAATCATTCTTACAATTAGGATATTTATCAGTGACTTGAGACAAATTTATTTATGCGGTGAGCCTACTTACATTGCTGTAGTTTGGCAGAAGATTAGTAAGTGATATGAATAGAACTTGCACTTGTCTTTATGAAAGTAGTTGTCTACTGGTAGCTTCGTCATGTTTTTGATAAGCTGTAGCACCTTAAAAATAATCACATCTGAGATTCTCCTTGAAGCAGAGTCTGGTATTACTTTGATTGTATGTCATCATGTAGTGTGTTAATGTCTGGCCTCTTTTTCCATTCATATTTAAATAACAAGCGATACGTAGATGAAAAATACAAAGTCATAAAGTTAGGTCAGCTTCCTAGATTGGGTAGGATCATTACACTGCCTTCATCGGAGTGATGTAAAAATCTAGTTAGTCAGAAATATTAACAGCAATAGCAAAGATAGTATAATGACAGTTGTAGAACCCAGCTGTCATCTCAATTGCATTGTACACATTTGATAATACAATTAAATGCATTAAAAATACATTTAATGCAAATGTATTTTTGCGTGTATTTAAATAAAAATATATTTAATGCAAATATATTTTATTTCCTAAGTGCTGCAAAAAGCACTCAGGAAATTATAGTTACTTGTTGTCCTTACAATGTGTGATTTACCACTGTGGTTTAAGCTTTATCATAGCCTGTTTTAATTATCTTTAAACAATTGTCTGCTGTGGGCAAGGCAGTGCTTAATCTTTTCTTTTTGCATTTTCTGCTTCACTATACTTTCAACACCAAATGTAACTTTCCATAAAAAATAGTTTCTTCACTAAACAATTCTGTTTCTTTAATAGAGCGGGGCCATCACATGCATGGAAAAAGTCACAGATCTTGCAAGAAAATAGTATATTGTCATCTAGTCACAGACCATATCGTAATACGTATATTCAGGAGAAGACCCCGGCCTTTCCTACCTCCTTGACTTAAAAAAAACAATTTCATATTCAAATTTCATTTACAGTTATACTGATCTCCAGCCCTAGTTATGTGTGTGCTCACTATAGATTCAGAGCACAGACTACTACTACATCAGTGAATATCACTAGTAGCATCATTAAGGTGATATTCTTTACAGAAATCAGTCACTAGGGATGATAAACCCATTTATGAGGAAAATAAAAGTGGTTTCAACTTCCATGCTATGCCTTCTACGTTGAAATTCTGCATTCACTTCCAAGAGCACACAGCAATGGCTGGATTGCTGTCTTTCCCCCACTCCTGCCTGCTTCTGCACCTCCTCAACATCTTCTCTTGATTATCTTTATAATGAGTTTCCTAAAATGTATTTTCTCTTGCCTACTGCTGTACATACCTTGGCTAGCTCTTTGTATCAACCACAAGATTTGAGATACAAAGACATTATGGAAACAGATTATAAATGTAATTGCTGTTCCTGATTATGTTATGTCACAAAATGGTCTGTAAGGTATAGAATTTGAAAAGAGCTGATGTTTAATTATACTGCAGACTCTAGAGAAGAAAATAGCAGAGTGGAAACTTCAAGTTGGTGAATACAAGCACCAGATGTTAGCCTTAAGGGAAACAAGTGAGCAAAAGAAGACTGCTCTGAAAAGAGCAATCAGGTCCCAGAAACAAAGAGCTGAACGCTTTGAAGCAGCTGTGGAAGATTTAACCTCCAGAATAAGAGAACGTGTGAGTGACTATGCTGTGAGCAATGTCATGCTGTATTGTTTTAAATTGAACAATTGGGAGACTTTCACCTGTGGAAAATAGGAAAAATCGGTTGGTCATGCTGTGTTTGTATCTCTTTTATTTTTTTGCTCCTTGGTTAAGGAAGAGGTTGCTGTAAGTGACATGCAAACTGTTAGCTACATTCACTGCCTTTGTTTTGTTAAAATTTAGTGAATATCTTAAGCCATGAGGTTGTATGCTTCAAACTGTAGTAAGTAAGAGGAGTCTGATCAGCTTTCAGTTACATCTCTCCTAATCTTCCTGTTAGACCTTTATGGATATACACTGACTAATCTCAGAAGTACAGTATACTAACTGAGAATCCACGATGGAGTTTGAAGTCTTTGTTTTCTTTCTTTATCAGTGTATGACATCTCATGTGGATACTTAGCTTTCTGTTTCTAAGCTGCTTGCTCTGAAGCTTTTCAAAATCCATGTACAAAACTTCCTTAATCCAAATTGTTCCTTAAGATTCTTGCCCCGCATATCCCTACAGTGTGTAATTGTTCAAGAAGGCCAGGTGAATCAGAACTGCACCGAGATCTTTATTGCCTTATTTAGATTGCCTAATAAGAGTGTGTTTTCATACTCTTAGATGTGTTGCCGTCATTTTGGATATGTCAGTATTAAAGATATATTTTTCCAGTTAGTATACTAGGAGATGGTTAATAATGTTTTTGTGTTTTCTTTGATCTTTGTGAGAAGACAGTAGTGGATCTTTAAGTACACTGGGCAGTACAGAGGGATGGCAGCTAACTCCTGAATTTTTGATGTTTTGTAGTCGCGCTATTGTTCTCTTTCCCCATTGAAGACCTGGTGTACTTTCAAGATAGCACGTGTTGGTTAATTACCCATACTTCTTTGAGGGACTTTACTTAACTTTGCATTTCTTACCTAGCTATTATTTTTAATTCTTAAAAAGTTTTGGCAGAATTTTATTTTTGTATTATTTATATAATTTATATGTAGTAGAGATGTATTGGAGACAAATATTTTTATTGTAAGAAAATATTTTCATCTTAAATTTTGAAATATTGTAGTATTCTACAGTTGATATACAGTGCCAGTGTTTAACTGTCTCTGCCTTGAATGTAAGTCTGTACGTAGACCTTAAGTTTTTTAAATGCGTGTAGTTTTGTTTATTTTCTTTTGAGACAAGACAAAATTTACATCGCTTTGTACTAGGGAGATCTAAGCCATCTTATACTAAATAGCTCTTGTGTTTAGAAAATTTTGTAGAACTAGATGGTATTCTTCAGTGGCATTCTTTTGTTACATAATTTGTAATTCCTGTATTCCCTAGGAAGTCAAACTGTCTGAGATACTGTCAGCTTCTGATGTCTGGAAAAACCAGCATGATAGAATGGTTGAAGGAAAGACAACGTTAGAAATTCAAACAGAAGATCTTAAGAAGTAAGTTAAACCATTTATCTATTTTTGGGGGTTTCTGTAGTCACACAGTCTTGATATTTAGTAGTGTAGTATTCAGGTTGACAATGTAAACAAGTTTATTAATATTTTAAAATTCTGAGCAGAATTTAAAAGTTGGAAACCAGAAAAAATTTAAGATTTGTAGCCGCCTCTCTGCTGCATTTCACGACTTTATTTAAAGCTTGATTCCCCCATACAAGTAAGGAACATGTTCTTTCCCCTGCGTACTTCCGATTAGCCTGAACTTGCTAGTAGGTAGTATGCTGCTTGCTCAGAACCATTTGTTTAGTAACTGATTAAACAGCTTGAGTGTTAACTCACGTGTCTACTGCAGTATAGAAGAAGGTTCTCACTTAGGCTTCTAGTTTCTACTTCAGACTAATGACAGCAAAATTATTTCAGTTCCACTAATGTCTCACCCCACTACAGGATAGAGAAGAGTTCCTCTCAGGTGCGTGTTTGAACAGCTTATTCTTGTAAAGCAAAGCAACGCAACACAAAATTGTCCAACCTTATTAAAACTATGCAGTCAAATCTTAATGTACATGAAGGATGTGACGTTTTCTTTGGCAGACAGTGACAAATATCTTTTTACCTTTTCTGTTGGTAGAAATATGGACTATAATTCAAATAAGCAAAAGAAACTGGTAGGTGCTTTTATGCTAGGTCTAAGACAGAATGTTTATTTTACAAAGAACTTGATTCATGCTTAAATACATAACAGCTCAAATTAAGCTGGCTTGACTCTTTTGTTTTTGTTTCCGAAAATCTGACATTTCTGAAAATATTTTCAGCAAATTTTAAATTTTAACAGGAGTACAGGTACACGACATCAGTCCAGAAATCTGTCCAGCCCAACATTGGTCTAGTGTATATGAGGAGGCATCTAGGAAAGAATAAGAAAAGGGAAACATCTATGATATTTCCCTGAAGTACTCTTTCTGCTTCCAGCTGTTTTTTGCCGTTTTATTTTAGCTGAAAATACAAGTCTTTTGTTAGAATGGTACCTTTCAAGCAGACTTGTTCTACTAGGCAGTGTATGACTAACTGAACAGCAAAACAAATTTCATTGTTTAACTTCATAACATGAAAAGCAAATGATGAGGCATATAGCACAATTTGTTACTTTTAATAATGGAAAGTACCATTCCTAAACTAGCTATGGAATGTTCTTAGTAGGACATTATCTGATAGTCCTTATAAATTCAATATCATTCCATTTTGTACAGTATGTATACGCATAGTTGTCTTGGAAGTATGCTTGGGTGTTATAGGTAATGAATTTATTTATAATTGAGCTAGGACCACTTCCTTGGTGAACCACATCTCTTTTGGAAAGTTTCTTATTTCAATAGGTACTGCTTTTTTGGGATGCTTAAATGCATTCTCCCAATTCTTTTTTTTTTTTTTCTTTTAATAAGAACAATGAAGGAGTATGTATTAAGGTACATTCATTTGCATAGTGAGAGTTTTGGAAGTATTATGTATGATATAGACGTTCTTGCCTGTCTAACAAGGCAGATCACAAGCCTTTTGGAAGACCTGAAAAGAAAGGAGGAATGGAGAAGAAACTCAGATGAGGAAATTCTTGGAAAGCTAAATTCTGTTAACTCTGAAAATGAAAAGATTTACCTTGAAAATGAAAAATTAAAGGTGAGTTTATTTTAAATCGTTGTTGAATGGCTCTGCATTTCTGATACATTAATAAAGTAACCACATTAATTCCCTTTTGGCCTTCTGTCTAGAGATCACAAACCTGTAGAATAAATTTTGCTATCCATTTTTTACACTAAGTGAAAATGAGACATTGAAAATGTATCAGTGGAAATCTATGGCAAATCTAGGAACAGGATTGGCCAATCATCTATCTGCTTAACAAGGATGCCATTTATTTTACTGTCAGTAACTACAAAATTGCTTAATTGGAAATTGTTTTTTTATGTTTGTAAAATTTTCTTTCAAATTAAAGAACTGAGTTTAGCTCAATTATTAATTTCAAGTTTTTTGAATGGTTTACAGGTTTTGTATTTTATTTATCCTCCAAAGTAAATATTCTGATGAGCTGACAAATGAGCTGTGGGCTATCATTTTTGTTTGACAGGATAAATAATTGTGTCACTCTTCTTAATGTCTGCAGGTCACTTGCTAGTAATATATTGTAGATTGTCTTATTTTAATAACACTTACAATTTTTATATTTTCCATGTTTTAATCAAGGCTTCCCTTGCTACATTGGAAACCAGTACTGTTTCTGTTGAAAATGAACTGCTAAATCTGCAAGAAAAGGCAAAGGTGCAGGGAAACCTTGTTGAACAGTATAAAAATCAGGTGACTAGCATATTTGAAATGTTCAAGTATGGGCTTTAAATTTTTAAGCAGTTTTGAGGAAATGATAAAGGTTTTATTTGTAATAAAACAGATTTGTTGTCATGTTGACTGTAATACTGTCGTCACATTGAGGATGATAGAAGAAAGTGCCATTACAAACCATATCCAGGAATAGTCTCCACACTATGACTAGTACGCATAATCCTTACTGAATTGTGTGAAGCCCGGTTGAAGCTCATTGAAGCCAACAGAGCTAATTACATACTTGCTTAGAAAAGATTTGCTTCCTAAGAAGCAGGTTGGCAACCCAGTAAACTATACTTAAAAAGTAGAATTTGAGTCTGATGTCTTTAGTGGGCATATCCAATGATATTTTACCTCTCCTTGGTCATATCTTTATTTCCACATTCCTAAGAACAGTAAAACGGCACTCAAGTACTGTTGTAAGAGTTTTTTTATTTACATCGGTAGCTCCACATTGAAAATACCAGCAAAACATATAAATCAGACTTAAAATGGGCTTTTTGTCAATTCCTTTTTTTGTATTTGGCTTTACTCACAGAGAAGGAATTTTAGAACATTGATTTAAAGTTGTATATATTTCTGCTATAGTATAGATACTATTTCACTGACAGTCTTCACTTACCTCTCTTTAAAAATCATTGACAAGAGGAAAGACTTGATACTAACTCTTAAGTTCCACCAGTGTGCCTTGTCTGTGGGACACATCACCACAGAAGTGTTGCCAGCTTTAAGATAGGAGATGTAGTTCCAGGAAACAGCCAACCTTAAGAAGCGAGTGGGATGAAATTCCCTAGCCTGTAGCTGTGGTGACTCCAGATGGGAACTGTTGTTGGTGATACTTGTTATCTGGGGAGAGAAGAGTCATGCTGGCTGCTTCTGTAGCACAACTGTAGCTCATTCTCCATTGTTGAAAACAAAATGTTGGTATCAGAGTGCTCTTCACCTGGTTACCCTTTTATATTTGCTGTAGTGAGTAGGATAATGAAAATAAATAACTTAATATAATGACAAATATTGAGATTCTATTTAGAAATCAAAGGTTTTACTTTATGCTTCATACTAATGATTCTCTTTTCTATATTTAAAAGAAACACCTTGAAAATGTATGTGAAAAATATATTGTGTCCTAGGTACAAAAATTACAAACAGCAGTAGAAGAATTGAAATCCAGATATGAAACAGTCTTAAATGAAAACAAAAGAATAACAGAAAACAAATGCTTAGAAGTAGATAAGGTAAGTTTTGCAGTAGTAAAGCATATTTCCAAACAATTCTGTAGGACACTGACAATCACTACATTGTTGTGATCCACTTACTAGAAGTCACAAGGTACTGGCTCTTTTTCTTTTTTCTTTTTCCACCTATGAAGTTGTTTTCAAATTCATTGAATGCTTTACTAACTCTTACTTGTGAGCGGGTGGTTTTTTGGATACTACACAATTGCAAACAGGTGAGAAATGTTTCCTAGAGAAATGCTATTTTAGAATTCAAGCATTCCTTTTATGACTTTTAAAAACGTGATTTTGTTATTGATGATTTTAAAACTAGACCTCTCAACAGAACAGCTGTGAAAGTTGCATAGGGAAGCAAATCTACTGTAAGACTGCTTTGCAGTGTAAGTTGGTTGTTTTAACTAGCAGTTAAAATGGAGAATCAATACAGAGATGAGTTTTAAGTTAGCACATTCTTAAGCATCGGAAAACAATACAAAATTGATAGGAAAATCAGTTTCCTCAGTTCCACTGCTCACCAAAATACGTAGTCTTTTAAGTGACGAAGCTGAGGCAGGGACAGGTTTTGCGTTGCTTGCAATGTTCTAGTTTACAGAACAGAATTAGTCCTCACAGAGAAGCGTCTCAGATGTTCATTTTATTCTATACTAATTATTTTTCAATGATTTGGTTGTAGAATAGAGAAAAATATTTTCTGATCCCCTAAAATGCACAGCATTGTATGTGGCATTAGGTGTTGCCCTCTTCTCAAATACTGCAATAGTTGTATGGTCAGAATTTTTCCTGTAAGCTGCTTAGCGTGCCTGTATGCCATCTCCCAAAATATATTGCAATAAAAATAAAATCAAAATTTGGGTATCGCATGATGAACTGCTAACACTTGCATAATTTTGTAAATGTTCATTGTGAGCGTTACTGAGTCTTTAATGAAATGTAGTCAGAGAGAGAAATTTCTTCAATGGTGAACTTGTATTTTGTAAAATAGGTGACATTATGCAACTTGTGTAGAATTTCAGATTTATTACTTACATGGAAAGCAATTAAGTATTACAACAATTAATTTATGGTTTTACACTTACATTTTTCTCCTGTGATGCTATGATGCAGCTGAGGGACAAAATGGAGGCTGAGTTAAAGGAGTTAGAACATGTTTGTGACTTGCTGAAAGCAGCTGAGGAAAAGCAGCAAGGATATCAGAAAAAGCTTATGTCCTGGGAAAGGATCCATGCACAGAAATGCAAAACCCTTAGGGAGCTGCAGGTTCAGGTGCTTAGAACATGCTGATTTTTAAAGACAAATGAGAAAATTATGTGGAAGAAGGTCTCTGGAACAGTTTTTTCCTGTTAGTGTGTGTGACAGTTGTGTGGTTTCCTTTGTTATTTGCTTCATAAATCAAAAGCTCCTTCTGTAGAAATAGCACAATGCAAATAAAACTATCACCAACTGTATTTACATTAATTCAGTATGTGACAAGACTAGTTACTTGTATTTCCTTTTAGATTCTGTATCTTTTAAGTGATCCTTTTGAATACTTATGTCCTGAGATGTGTGGCAGTATTCTTCCCTGGAAATAGATGTGCAAGTCTAATTATTGTTTGTATCTGGTGGAATAATTTAATTCCACATTCATTTTGTTTTTAGGGACTAATTTATAAACCAGACAATACTTGCTCAGATAGTCATAAATTATATTGTTGATGATGTATAACTGTAACATTTTAGTGATTACATTGTGTTGGTTGATAAAATACATTTAAAAATATGCTTTATTAGGATCATTTCTATTTTCAGCAGTATTTTAGCACTACTGCTTGTTTTTCCTCTTAAGCCTGAATATGAATATTCCTCAGCTTTTTTTGTCTGTGACATCAGTTTCAATGGCAGGGCTAAGTCTGGGATTTTTTGTTGTTCTCTTTTCTCCTTTATGTGCTTTTGAGTTAGAAGAGAATATTCTGCTAGCACGAAAGACAAAGGTGTTTGTTTGAATCAGTAGGGTGAGAAAGGGGCTTAATCTTCCTGTGTCACTGGGAAAACTCAGCTGAAACACAGTGAGTCTCTGTGTCCCTGTAGACTTTATATGCTATAAAAAAAATAGCTCTTGATTTTGTTTTAAACTTCTTGTCAAGATGATCGTTATAGCATCAAATTTTGTTCTTGTTTTTTATCATTTTAAATGCTCCTTCCAGGAATGCTCATAAACTCATAAATCCACCTTTGCTTAGCAGAGCACTTAAGCAACAATTAATTTTGAGGTGCATATATAAAATGATATCTGTAATTTTAATCTCACTACGTGTTTTCCTGAATAAATGCAAAAACCTCTTAAGTATAGTGCAGTAATTGGGAATATAATCACTAGTCTGGTGGAACAGCAGTTAAATTTCGGCATTAAATCTGGTGATGTCTTTTAGAGCTTCTGACCCTTGATCCTATGATCAGAATTGAGGAAAATTCCTTTTGAAGTAACTGGACAGTGTGCAGAAACCCTCCCTCTTCTGTGTTCAGCTGGGCCAGGACATCAGTTTACTGCCCCTCTGCTGGAGGTTTCTGCTGGCTGAACAGCCTGTAACTCACATAAGCGAAGTCAACCAGATTAGCTCAAATTACTGGATGGAACTGCTTGACGTAGTCCTGTGAATGATGGAGGTTGCCCCTTAAATAATGGTGCCAGCAGGCTGGTGGTGTGGCTATTATTGCTAATCTGCTGTTGATGGGTGGTAGCAAGGGCAATGATCTCCTCACTACTGTTGTGAGATTTAAAAGAAAACATGTAACCGTTTGTCAGTCTGGATGCTGAGCAGGGGAAGACAGTTTGGCTTCTTGCTTTCTTCAGCTTCTGCTACTAATATACCTGTTTTTATGAACTTGATGGTCTTTTTTGATATTCACTACTTGCTGAAATTCTTTGCCAGTGCTACACTGTTCTGTGATAACTGTATATATATGTGGTATTATTTTTATGCTTCCTGTGACTGTAGTGTGAGGAAACTTACTTTTGCTGGAATCTAAAGCTTAAGAGTCAAAGTTCACACGGAGGTAGACCTGGCCAGCTCCTAATACACAAGGCTACATGAGCAGCATATGGGTTTTGTTAGGACTTCACTTTGTTACATAGCAGGTTTTCAGGCCTAAAGTGTTCACACAAAGTTTTAGCCTGCTACTTCGGCTGAATTTTATTTGTTTTAAATACAAGATAATGCTTACTTGAATATAATACAGTGTTTACCTGAAATTACAGTTAAATTGTTTGATTGGATTTTAATAAGCAAACTTACTTTACTCTGTAATATCCTGTGTATAGGTCTCTTCTACTAGAAATGAATTGTCATTTTCACAGGAGGAAGACAGTGTAACTTCCGTGGGCAGTCACTCCTTAGAAGAAGAAAACCGTAACATTCAGAAGAAATATGAAGATCTTAAAAGGTAACTTTTTAAAAATCTGACTGCAATTAATTCCTACACTTTTCGGCTATAGTGAATTATAATATATTAATCTGTTTTGCATAAAGGCAATTAGAAAAGATGGAATTTCAAAATGAAGAACTTGCTTGTCAGCTCAAAAAAGAAGATGAGAGTCTTCAGTGCAGTAAACTGCAGCTTGAGGAGAAAATTGCAGAATATAATGGATTAACCAGACAACTGGATTCTGCTATGGAAGAAGGGAGAAAAATGGTATTGATGATTTAATACATCTCTTAATCTTGTTTGCCGTTTTCTATTTAAAAATAGCATTAAAATCAAATGTGCTCGAGAAGAAAGGATGGGACAAGATTATTCTGCGTGTAGGGAAAGGAGCAATACTAAAAAGTTACTGGGAATTCTGCATGTTTAAATATGGATTGCACAATTCACCTTCTTTGTGGAATTCGGATCCTATTGAAAATAATGAAGAAGTTCAGTGGACCAAAATTTCACCATCTTTTTTTTTGGTGACAAATCAAAATGCTTTAACCACCTAATATTTAAATCCCACACATACGGCAAAATGTTTCTGAACAAAATCTTAATCTTTCCTTTTTCTTATTCTCTTTGGAATAGGTAGCCCACAAGAACTTCAGTGTTGAAATCTTTCTCACTTTAGAGGAAGGCTTTGCACACTTTCAACATTAAGCAGAGATTTGTCATTTGTAGAAAGGATGCAAACAATAAATCAAATGGAAGAGGAAATGTAGGAATTTAGATTGCAGTGAATTGTATTAGTTTAATCAGGAAATATGTATGAAGTTGTAATTTCTGTCTCAGATTAATCACATTGAAATAAACCGTCTGAATTTTCTCAGTAGTGCCTGAGGATATTGATTTGGTTTTGAAAAAATAACAAGTTTGGGTAAACTTACAAATGAGTTACAAAAGTGTCTCCCTCTCAATATATGACATTTTTTTCCAAATTGAAACTTCTTTCAAATTTAGCCAGAATATTTCCCAGGTTTGTTTAGTTTCTGTGCATGGAAAGTAGCTGAAGTATTAGATGACAGAATAGGAAATAGAGCTGAGATGTAAGAAAGTAATTTGGTTTGGGCTTTAAGTGAAAGTAAATATACATCCTTTCTCTCTCATTACTATTACAGGTAGCCGAAGAACTGGAAAAAATGTCATACAAAGAACAAGCCCTTCAGGCAAAAATGCTAATTCTTGAAACTGAAGTGAGAGAGAGGCAAGAAGAGAAAAAACAGCTCCTCTGCATATTTCACCGTGTGAGTAAATAATACTGTTTATGGCTTAAGAAATTACTTACCACATCACCATTTACATAAAGTTCCTTTTACTGAAAAACACACTTTTAATACAATTGGTACATACTTTGGGGAACAGCAAATTAATTCAACTTGACGGTATACTTTATATTGACATTTCTAATAGACTTAACAGATGCCCAGTCTATTTTACTAAATCACTGGAATAATATTGAGTTTGCATCTCTTATTCAGTCCAGTTTTCCCAGCAAGGCAAAAATCAAAAAATATGTATGAAGTTGTAATTTCCCTTTCAGATTAATCATGTTCAGTAAGCATACCTAGATTTGAATAAATGCGTAACAGTTCCATAACGACATAGTGGTTTGTTTTTTTTTCCTGAGTTGATACAAGAATCTGATCTTGCTGGAATTTGTGAAAAGCTTTCAGTTTATATACCAATGTTGCACATAAATGTAGTTAGTAACAGAAGATTTTTCAAAGTGTCAAGCCTTTAAATGACCAGGTTTCAATATGTTTAAGTCTAAGATAGGTACAGTCTAAGAAGGTATTCTGTATGAGTAATCCTCTCCGAAAACAAACAAAAAAGTCTGATTTATTGTTTTATCTAATCCAGAAAATTTCAGCACATTTTCTATTAATAAATTGTCAGACGTATCTGAATTCCCTAGACTAGTGATGGCAAATCATTTGCTTTAATCAAAGTGTTGATACAGTTAGAGACTTGTCCTGTGTTCAGTGATAATAAGCTACAAAGCTATTTAAAATCAATATGGAATACACGAAAGAGGTTTCGTAACACTCTCCTAGACTCTCAAAACCAATATTCTGTATTCTGACTTGAAGCATTCAAGAGTAAAATCAAGGCAACCTAAATGCAAACTCTATTCAAGATTCAAATAAGACATCGGAGATACGGTTCGGAATTCAGTATGCTTTAATTAACTTTTATCTGTATCAAGTGTAACTTAATGTCTGCATTTACAAGTATTCTTAAAACAAAATCAGACATTGGCTAGTGTTTTATTCTACTTCAAATATTTTTTCATCGGAATTTCTTACTGTGTTAAAGTAAAATAGAAAATTTTCTTGTCTTTTGTCCAAGAAAAACTCCCAGGTTGAACTGGGATGTGAAATGTAATCATATTCAGCAAGCAAATTACCATAATATCCTTGCCTTAATATTAAGAAAGAAATGAAGTTCCCTTCCCTAATGAGGTGTAGTAAGATTAGACATTCATATAATCTCTTTTTTTGGGAGGTGAGGCAGGGAGGGTGTTATAATTCAGCTGAAAGACAAAAAGACCAATTTATCAGATCTTGTACCTTAAGACCTATGTTCAGAGATCCTAGTTTGCTTTTGGTATTAGTCATCTTTCAGGGCTTTTTGGTAGGAGAGATTTATGGTGATGTAGAAACAGTATATGGTATTTCAAATTTATCTTTTCTTCTCTTGTCATGAAATCTAGTTAAAGATTCCCCGATTACATTTATTTTGAAGTCTTGGAGTCTTGAAACGAACCTGAAAATGTACAGCACAGTGTATATATGTTGTTGTTGTTTATTATCATAGAGTTGCATTGGTTCTCTTTGATATAATTCCAAGGTACAAGGAAAAGAAACAATATGGAAGCAGTTATTGCCAGTGGCTACAAGTAAGAGTTACGGAATATGGTGCTATACACTGTTATACCTGTACTGGCAGTTGAGCATCCTTAAAATTAGATCCTAATTTATTTCTCTCTGCAACTTAAAAAACAAGTAGAGACACTTGCATTTTTGGCAGGATTTTTTGTTCTTTTTTATCAGTTTTAAAGGAATCTATTTCTATGCGACTTGTATGATGTCTGTAAGTTACTTTACTGTTTATTTTTAAGCCTCATTCTGTTTTCTTTAAAATCAGTGGTAGTCCAGTTACCGAGTTTGATGGGAACAGAATTGGATCTCAAGAGTCTAGTTCTATTTAAAATTGCTTTTTTCAATCATATTACCAGCATGTTTTAATTTCTAATTAGTTGTTTGCTTGTTAGTCCATTTTAAATCCTCGCGCCAATGGCTAAAGGCAAAGAAACTCTGAGAATCACCAGTCCTAGATAATAAGAATCCATGTCACTTGGCAGAACACTCCTGTTAATCCTTCTGTGTCAGAAATAAAGTATATGTTCAAATGGTTTCCATTTTAAGCTTACAGTTAAAATATAAATGTGAAAGGTATATATGTCTGAGAGAAGAACTGTTCTCAATTAATTCATTGCTTTTTATTCCAATTACATTTACATATAAATGAGAATGCGTTATGGAAAATGATAAAATGGTCTTATTCCTGTTGTTATAGTGAAACTGGAAACACAATAGGACTGTGAAGGTAACTTTATTCAGTTATTCATTCTAACCTGATTGTTTGATTTAAATCTGAAGACTATAATTCCGTCTTTTAAAATTGAATTTATTTTAAGCAACTAGCATCTGAAATCTGTAATAGATGTAAAAGGAAATACCTGAATATCTGTAATATTTATATAGCAAATGATCTATGGTGTACCTCAGGTATGGAACTAATGAGCAGGTAATATTGCTATCAATCATCATCTTTAAATAAGAAACAACAGGCATCAAAAATCATGTTGCATCAGAGATCAATAACAAATGTTTCCTTGAAAAATCAACATGAGAGAGAGCGTTAAGTCCATAACAGATTTAAGATGCTAGGAATCTTCCATGATAAAAATTCAGAAGGTCAGTTTTTACATTCCCAGGCCTTTTTGAGATTCTAAGCCTATTCAAACATCTTCAGTTTGGTCCTCACGGAACATAAATAAAGCTTCAATATATTGTGGTCTTCTTGGGAACCTGCAGTTTTGTGGAGCCTCTGAAAACTTCTATGGATAAATAAGGCTTATAAAAATGAGGTACTAGTTGTCTTACATTATTATTTTGATTGATTTGTATTTTATTTCTAAGTTGCATTGCATTTCTCTTTTTTTCTTTAGAATGAAAAGCACCGTGAAGTACGTTTGAAAGAGCTGGAGAACAGCCTACAAAAGTCAGAGAACAAGAACCAGAGCATCCAGAATTATGTGCGGTTTTTGAAAGCTTCATACATAACAATGTTTGGCTGAATAATTTAATTTATTTTAATAATAAACTTTTCAAGATTTGGCTAACTCTTGTTGAAGGCAAGGCTGTTGAGGCTTTATAGTATTTTGCAGGACCGAGTACTATAATGTTGGTTGTTCCCTAGGAAAACTCCTGTTGTGGGCAGGGAAAAGCAGGTCAGTCACTACTGTATATCCTACTGGCTGGTCACGTATGGAAAATTTACCTGGTATTACTGATATAAAGAATTGTAATATTCATGGAAGAGAAGAGAAAAGGCAGATTGCATGACAGTGGTGACAGGTGTGTAAGTGTGGGGTATGCACACAAAGTTGTAAATTGGTCTGTGAATTTACCATGTGTTAGGTCCTGTGTTGTAAAGTCTTATGTGCATCCTTTTAGGCCACGGTAAATGCGGATGATCACAGATTACCTTTCAGTTCCCGTGGGGGAAGAGAACACCCATGGGCTGGTTGCATAGTAATTTGCGTATTTTAATTATTAGTAATTATATTTATCAGTCATTATACTTCTGTTACTGTAGATATCTAGTGCCCAAGATAGTGATATCTATCCTGTTAAGACAGGCAAAAATTTAGAGAGCATTAGGTTCCCTTCCCGTCTGTTCCCTGTAGCTTAGCACCAGTACAGCACTACTGCACTGCATGAAATAGTTGCCGCCACAAGGCTGTCCCATCCAGCCTTTTTTCCTTGCATCCCATTCTGATCAGGGGTATACTATAGTAATATTTTACAAATGTAAGTAGGAAAGTATTTTAGATACAGATATAATTTAAGCTCTGAATGTGTTGATACACCCTTTCACGGTGACACAGCCCCAGTTGAGGTATTTAAGTATTTATCTGTGCTTGGGTACAAGAGCTGCTGTTCACTGAAGTGAGTAAGACTGACTTACGCCTCAGGTTAAACACATGTAAATATTCAGCTGATGCTGGGCTAATACAAAAACCGATTCTGACTGAGAAAGTAATTGTTTTCTAGATACATGCTTATCGAACTGTGGATGGTTTTTGAAAAGTAGTACGTTCAGATAAGTTAAATATATGTAATTTAGAATGTGTATTTAAATAATATATATTTTTTAACTGAAAACATAAGTTATTTCATACACAGACAATACCTGTTTGTTAAATGTAGTATTTAATTGTTATTTATAATGTGTAGAATGTTGATTTCTTTTTTCTTTTCTTCCAAATGCTTATCCATCCTAACAAAAGCTGGTATGTCATAATGATCTGCTTGTGTGCACTTTTAAAAAATAAAATTATCATTTATTATATATGACTTATGCTAGTAGCAAGTATTTCTGTTACGTTTTGGGGTTTTTTGCATTACACACACATACTTACAGCCATATTTGTATTAATTTAGTTCTGCCTGTGCTACTTATAAAATATCAAACCTTTCAGAAATATTCAGAAAGATTTCAGAAAGATTTCAGAAATAAAGTGTTGAATCTAGTCCATGACTGGTTTTTAAAAGGCCGTCATGGAAAATTGTACACTTTTCATTGATAAATGACACAAAGATGTACAGTAACTTGATTTCAGCCTATCTTTTGCTATCCAGGAAATTAGGGTTTTTTTTTCCCCTATGTCATTTGCAAGCAATAGATCTGGAATTATTAAAGTTGCTGACAGCTTCAGGTACCTCTTTACCTCTGAATGTCTACAAACGATAAATTTAAGGTAGGTCAAAGTATAGGTGACTTGATTTAGCTTATAAAATTAGAAATTTGTATTTTTTTCAGCTCAACCCATCATTTTCAAGTTAAACATTGGAACAGGCTGCCCAGGGAAGTGGTTGAGTCACCATCCCTGGAAGTATTTAAAAGGCGGGTAGATGAGGCGCTTAGGGACATGGTTTAGTGGGCATGGTGTTGTTGGGTTGATGGTTGGACTCGATGATCTTGGAGGTCTCTTCCAACCTTTAATGATTCTATGATTCTATGATTTCCATTGTATTAATCTAGACTTTCTTTCCTTTTCTTTATATTTAAGGACTGGAATATACATTCTCGATCTCTGAAGTCTTAGAAATCTCTTAAAGATGAAGACAGCATTTTCCAAATGATGGTGATGTTTTTATGGCTCTCCATTACTGATTTCCCTCCCCCCCCCCCCCCCCCCCCCACCCTAATAGGGCTACTAGTCACAAAGATCACTTATTTTTTCTCATTTGCATTTGGGAACTGGTGTTAGATGATCATGTTATTTCCATTTTACATTTTGTTAGCTCATTTAGAGACAGGAATTGCTGTGAATTTTAATAAAAGAATGAAATTATTTTTCTAACTACCTAAGGATTTGCCATTTACTCTAGATTGCTGTTTATATTTTTCGTAACTGTAAAATCAGCTAACGTAGTTCTTGCCTTGTTCATTTTACAACATAAAGCCATGTGTCATGCTGCACAATTCTTGGATACAGCTATACTGAATTGACTGTATTTTGGGATTCTAATCTTTTTCTTTAAAGCAATTTGTTTTTACTGTCTGCATCACATAGCAAAGTGACACTCAATTTTCTAGGAAGAAACAGACTCCTTATGCTTGCTTTCCTGGGAGTTTTCATCTCTAGACGATTTTAGAAGCCCTTGATCATGATACTGTTAACCAACACCTCACCTCTCAGCCTTTTTTCAAATGAGATTTTGATTTAGCATTTCCCCCCACAAATGCTTAATGTACTGCTGCAGTTTTCAAATACAGACAGCCAGATGAAACGTCTTACTGCTGCAAGTATGTACAGAAAAACTATCAAAACAACAGTTACTGGTCTGTACCGTACATGCTTTGTGATTATGTTTTTCAGTCTTGTCGTGTTCATTCACAGGACCATTAGCAAGCAGGAAGGTTTCTCTTCTGCTGCTCAGAACGTCCTTGGCCGGAAAAGTGGTAGAAATCAGAGACTCTGTGTAGAAGTTTGACCATGCTTTCAATGATGAGCTCACCCAGTAAAGATGCAGGATGAAGCTCTCGTAGCCATAGAGGTAGGTCTTGCCAGTATGAAAAACAGGCTCTATTTAAAAAAAATAACAGAATAACAGTTAAGCTGGCTAAGAACAGAAGAGTAACAAGATTAAAACACGAGTATTCTCTATCCCACCGTATTTAGAAGATTTCCTAGTACGAAGACACCTTTACCATAGACTTACTGAGGTACGTAGTCAGATGTTACGCGTTGTATGTGTTGTAGAATTTTACGGTTTTGCTAAGATTTTGTGGTAATTTTTCACAAAAGCTGACTCAGTATAATCCAAGGTACACAAGAGAGCCCACGGCTGAACTGGTGTTCTTTTTGTAAATTAAATCAAAGCCACCTACAATGTTACTATTTTCTCCCAATATCTGTAGCCAGTGGATTTTCATATTCAGTCAGAATTTCAGAGCTTTAATTAGGTTCAATTGTAAGCATGTAGAGTCCTGAAATTGGCAGACCTTAAAGAGTTGACCTCAACTCCCTACTCCTGCAATTCTTTGTCTGTGATAAAATGGACAGTAACACATCAGTGCCTCGTTTCTTGCTGGTTTTGAGAAAGAAAGGACTTGAAGTAGAAGATCATTATCTTATCATATGCTTTAGATTTGTTAATGTACGGGAACGCAGAATTTAAAGCAGAAGCATAAGTCTTAGGGCTACTTGGGGCCCTACCCCCTTTAATGCTGTCTGCCAAGTAGTCTATTATTAGTGGCTTAAGGTTTGTTGAAGAACTTTATCTGTTTCCTATCTATGGCACAAAACCTGCTGTAAATCCTATTGTAAGATGGAGTCTTTCCAGTAAGAGAAGAGAAACTCAGTAATTTCTCTCTGGATACCTGCCTCAAGGGATATCTTCATAGCAGAGACATAGCAATCATTGAGCTCCATACAGATGACTCCTCAGTCGAGTGTGATAGGTTACTAGCACAAGATTTCTTTTGACTAGCCTTTTATCTATTTAACGGTGAATGAAATCAACACTTGGATTTCTGTGAAAAGTTTAAGGAGGGACTGTTACCATGCAGCTCAAAATGTCCCATGCTAGAAATGTGTCCAGCATCCTGCCTTGGAAAAAGAGCCAGATTGTAGACTTTTTGTGACAAAATCACATTGTCGGGGATTTTCCTCCAGGAGAAGTGACCTGGCTTCCTCCGCTGACGAGCTGTTTAGCAGCGTAACATCTGTGTGCAGCCCTTACTGTGCTGGGAGGTCTAGAGCTGGCCAGCACAAACAGGGATCAAAGCAGGGCCCAATAGGAAAGGGTTGTGTGGGGTGTGAAGGAGATGCAGTGATTTCATACAGATTTCTTTTTGCTTTTGAACAAAAGCTTCCTGTGGATTGTTTTAAGGCTGACATAGCCGAAGCATGTTCCTTAAGGCCAGAGAAGTGAGAGCACTATGTTGATGTCCGCTGGTGAGGAATTTAAGCAGTCAAACACATGAATTTATTGCAGTCACGCAGGTCACCCTGATACACATTTGGGTTCAGAATATTTTCTTGTGTGTTTATGGCTGAACAGTAATCATATAGCAGCTGTCACTCAGTAGTAAAGCTTCCAAACGTTTGAAGGTGGAGTGTGTTTTATATTGCCATCCACGTGTATCTGCACCTTTCACTCAGGATTCTTCATGTAATGCTGTTGGCTTGCAACCTTTGGATAAGCCTTTTAGAGCTATGAACAGTCCAAAGGAATATCATCCTAGTGACATGTAAATCATTCCCACTCAGAGAAATCTAGTGTCTTTAAAATGCTGGTTTTATTGAGAACAATAATGTTTCCAGGAAGTAACTGACTTATAAACAGGGCTTTTTTGTTTGAGCGTTTGACAGACTGGATCAAATACCTGATTAACGTATCATGTTACTTTTATGGCAGATTAATCTACTTCATTTAAAAATGATAGGGAAAAGGATGTTTTTATGTGTAGACATTCTGCTGCAATCTTGCATTTCATTGCCTGTAAAACTGTACCTTCCAATTTATTGACAATGTAAGCATTCCATATGCTACTCCTCCTTTC